GCGGAATTCCCTCGTCAGGAAATCAATTTTCCTATAGTATTCGTACTTTATTTCATGCGCATCATGTGTACGAAATTGTTGAAGGCTCACCGGTCAAATGTGGTCTTATTTGTTGATGGCTTCGGCTTGTAACCGGGGATGTTTCATATGCATTTGAATTATGATCTTTGCTTGCACATCTTTACTTTATCGGGTCTTATCCCAACTCATTCACGTCACTCTATGCAAATGCCGTCTCAAGCTTCAGTTGCTTTTTTTATTGATAAAACGCCACTTACTTTAAACGCCCGAGTCAAAGTTCGTGGAGTTTTCCTTTATCAAGAAATGATCGCGTGTAGCTATCATAATCCCTGTCAAAGAACTCCTCTTAATGCAGCAAGAAAGAAGAATCAAACTTATTCGTGATAATGCGTAAAACATCGGGAATTGTCACCAAAAACATGACATGTAATCAATGCCAAATGGCTTGGTTAAATAGAAAGAACCATCTCACTGTAAAAGCCGCCCAGCTGCTGAACTTGTCTCCACCTCACCGCAAAGATAACAAAGTCTTGGGTTCTCCAGAAAGTTTGCACTTCTACAAGAAGCTTGCCTCGTACACAGAACAGAATTAACAGGAAAGCAAGTAATCAGTTATTCCAGACCAGGGTAACCAGAATATGGAAACACCAGAAAGGTTGCTATAATCTCTTTTACGTAACAGTGAAGAAACCAAAAATTTCAAATGCAAAGTTAAAAAAAAGGGAAAAAATAGCAACAGACAAAATTAAAACTGGACATGAAAACACAGCCATTTTAAATGGAACACCTGCCAAAGAAAAGTCACTTTTTTGAGTCCAAATGAAAAACGAACGGCTCGTTTTGTAGAGATACTCTTATTGTTGTTTATCAATCAACCAACCCTTTGAAACTGATATTTTACCTTTTATTTGTTACATTTGAACATCAAGTTGATGTTCTCGTGGTTACATAAAGTGGTACATGTTTGATAATGTATAAAGCTGGAACTTGATACAACATACAACTTTCTCAACATATTTGGAGCGATAATCCCATCACTCCAGCGTCCAAGATCTGGTTCGGGTCTCTAACCTCTAGTATATAAGCGCTTCAACAGTACATTAGTGAAAAGAGTACAGTGAGATATCAAAAGGGTACCATTTTGCTGATGAAGTTATAACATTCATAACTTGTTTGATATATTTGCTATTGATATTGCGAGAAGTCAATCACTTCTGGAAGTTATTGGCTAAGTAAAAACTTGTTAGAGTCTGCTTTTGCTACTCTAATCGAATGAAAATGTTACCATG